TCAAAAAAGGAAACACAAAAAGACCTGGTTTAATTTCAAATTTTGTGCAGCAATAAACTAATATCTATTACAGTAATCATTTTCCTCTTTCCAGGCATGCTGCACCTGGAAATCATCTATAGCAGAGGTCTGGGTACAAAGGACAGGGCAGAATATAAACTTGATCTTTTCCCCCAGCGTTTGAGATTGGACACTGATACATTAAAATCTCTAAGGGTTTTTTTTTCCTCCATGTCTAATAATAACCTACTGTTTTCAGCTACACAGATTAATCAACATAAAGAATGACTCTCAGCACTGTGAATCATCCCCAGCACCACACAAAAGAAGGCCGAGTGACTGGTACATACTCCCCCAGACAATATTGAAAATAACAGCATCAACTGTTGCCAGATCTCATCTGTGGGAAAAATAGTAGCTTCCCTTTCATACAGAAAGTTCTGGATAATTTCACCTTTCTTTCTCAGCTCATTTAACTTCTCTTGCTTCACTTGCCTAATATGCTGATCACAGGAGTACTGAAATATGTAAAAGGTTATAGAGAAGAAATATAAATAAGTTCACAGAGATAAGTCTTCTAAAATAAGGTGCACATATTTGAGGACTGGGAGGTACCACATTAGAGCAAAGATGGAATGGAGTCTATCTTTAATGAATCACATATTGACAACAATTAGAGACTGCAGTTTAATAGCTCCTGAAGACTTAAGTACAGGCTTGGAAAATAAAATCTCCAAGTTATTCATTCACATGCAAGCTCTTTCTGCAGCTTTTGACATGCAACTTTCCATTCCTCTAACTCAGTTTTATTAAACGCTTAAGTTTTATTATTTTTTAAGCTTTATTATTACATTGTATTGTTATAAAAACAGAGTTACTTTGTGATGCAACTTGCTCCCGTACCAGAAAATGCCAATTTTGGCTTAAACGGCAAAGAAAACGAAGGACAGAATTTGGAATTGTGAATGTCTTTTGTTTCTTTTTGTTTCTTTTTAGTGTGCAATGATGCCTGATTATTTTAAAATAGTACATTTTTTATATGAGATGGGAAAATTTCCTTCTAAACTTGAAATCAATACATATTCCCAGGACTTCTCCAACAGCTGATGAATCAAACAAGAATCAGAATCTTTACTCAAAGGTGTATGAAAACCATTCCCACTGGAGCAAAGACATTCACATCTCCATTAGATCTTGTGTTTCTAATTTGATGCTCAAAGATGACAAAACCAGAATACTAGATCTTTTCATTCCTCCTGGAACTGTTCCTTCCTGTCTGCCAGAAAAGCTGAAACACTTTTATGTATCAGTGAACAAACTCCAATGAGAATTTTTAGCCCTGTAGATAGGCCACTGGCATATGACTCAGAAAACTATTTTTTCAACCAGTACCTCTGAGTGGCCAATCTGTCCTTTGGAAATGCAAGTTTAATTTTTATATAATCCCTCTGGAAGTTCACGCAGGGTATATCCATACAACCACGGAACAACAACCACAAGCAGGGATCAATTACACTTGCAAACAACACAGTTCCTTTTTATTAATTCCACTCATTCCCATTATAGGAGATATTTGTAATATTTTTCAACTTGCTGCCAAAAGGCTGAGGAAACACCCCTAACAAAGGCTCCTGAGGTACCCTGGGCAGACAGGTAAAATGTTCTGTATCTAATAAAGTCCACTGACAAACATCCTAAAAACAATTTCCTAGACTGTGTGCTACTGAAACAGAACAGCTCAAACGCATCTGGACACCTTTCATGTGAGCTGGAGGCATTCCTTCTCTCACTCCACTATACTTCAAGACAATATTGCCCAGATTAAGTCGTATTTAAGCTCTTACAAGGTCAGAATTTAAGTGGTTCCTTTCTCTAGCTCTGCTTTTGAATGTCAGGTTGAAGACAAACCTGGCATTTGTTTTTAGATCGCTTTCTGTCTAATGAGACACTATAAATGTATGTCAAACATAGAAGAGCATTTCAACTTATCTTTTTTATTTAATCATCATAACTATCTGATACTTCAATTAACTTCATTTAGTTTCTTTTGGTATATCAAATTAATTGAGTAGCCAGGAAACAGATATAAAAATTAATTCTCCAAATCACAGAAATATGCATTACATGATGCAAGCTGGGGTGCCTTCATTAACTAAAACATACATTATGAGAATAATGATACACATCTAAAACCTGGCTAGCTTATGGAATAGCAAAAAAAGTAGAATAATTGCATTTAGATAGGCTTTTAAAGGCTTATTTTAATTAATTCTTTTTTTAAAAAACACTTTTTAAGTGCTCAGTGTAATCAAGGCAAACCAAAAGTGTGCATGGGGATGGGGTAAACTGCCTGGCTAATGGCCTCTGACAGTAATCCAATACAGTGATGAACTGAAATGCAAAACCTGCTTCAACTTGATGTTACCAGTTCAACTTCGAGCTCACACCAGGGCAGCTGGAAAGGTTCTCCCAAAGAACATTATCCTCCACATTTTCTTTTGAGAATTCCATGAATCAGCTTTAAATACCACTAGAATATATTCAATACATATTTCAAATGCAGTTAAAAAGCAAGAGCTTAAGGGAACACATTAAAGCACCGTAAATTGGAGACTCTTTAGCCAAACATTATAAACCCAGATTAACTGGTTGAAAGTGAGTATCAAAACAAAATCCAGTTCCTTTCGGGAAGCATCACCAGGCAAGTACCTGCTTATACAACAATACCTAGAAAAAAATAAGGAACAGGTATGTCTGCTGTTTTCTGTCAGTCATTACAATCAAGCTTTGCAAAAAAAAAAAAAAAAAATTAAATTTCACTGCTGTGTGGGCCTTTCTCACTACAGGGGTTGTGATCCTACCAACTCCAGCCTGACAGATTTAGTTCACATGGGCTCTGTCTCTCAGACTCATTAAAAATCCAATTTTTTTTTTTTCCATTGGTAGTGTTTTGTTTTGGCTGGTTCTTTTTCCCCCTCAATAAACCAGTATGTAACACGGAAAGACAAATACCAATCTCACCTCTAACAGAACCATGTCTATGGTCTGCTCCTCAAGTTTTACCCAATTGCAGACTCAGTATGAAAACCCCCAAACATGCCAGGTCTCTGTAAGCCTGGCCCACCTTCTAAAGTCCCAAAGGATGAGATGGGCACAGGGTTAGGGACTTCTCAATTTGTGGCAGTCATTTCTCTCAAAACATTAACTGGAAAATAAGAGATAATTTAGAACCCCAGTCTTTGGTGATGGATGCTGGACCATGTTTTCCGGCTGTTTTCCACCTCTCTACAGCTCCAAAACTTTACTTACTTTCTTAAAATTAACATTCTTTAAACAATTAAGAAATAGCAACAGCCATCAAAATTCTTCTGAGTGCTAATAAAGGAAAGGCAGTGAAAAATAAACAGCTTCATGATTAATGCTACTAAGAAAGCTTTATGATTATCCTATTTAAATTAAGTTAAATGGAATTAAACAGAAGTAGGTGATTTATTAGCCAGACTCAAGGAAGGATTATGCTCAAAACTCCAATTTAACATTAACTATTCTGGCACAAGAAGTGGGAACATACTGATTAAAGCTGCTACTGATACAAAGCAACAATCACAAGAGGCCTAAAATTAAATAGTGCCCCATTAGAATGACATAGTAAAGCCACTTATTTCAAGATTAACATCAAGAACTTCAGATACAAGTTCATAAATTAAAAATGATAGAGAGTGGAACCAGAGTGGTGTGCTGAACTACAAAAAAACATAAAAAAAGAAAGAAGCATTAAAAAAAAAAAGAAGTTAGGATTAAGTCACTTTCAAGACACTTGGGAGATCTCACAGGGCTATTTATGTTAAAAGGTACCTGCACCATTTCAGTTTAAAGGTAACAGCTACTAGAATGCTCTGGGAAGCAAAAGTACCTTGGGAACAGGACATAAACCCAGCTTTTCTAAGCCTAGAAGATCAAAAGGTGAGAGATACAAATGCTACCTATAAATAAACACAGGACAATGAATATAAACTATAGACAGAAAAAAGCCATTAAGGAGAAGCACACTCTGAACACAGCGACTAAGGTATGTAGAAATGCCGTGAACTGGAATTTTGCCATAGATTTAAGCATCAGTACATAGTTAAACAATTAAATTCTACCTTAGTTCACTGATTAGAAGAGAAGGCACAAAATGTAGCTACTTCAGTAACAATGATACATAACTTTATTAGGGGATTGACTGAAATTAGGCTTTTAATGACAAGGGATAAGACTAAGACTGCCCACGAAGCTCCTGCTAGTCCTTGAAAAGCAAATATGCACACTCATGTCTGGAGCAGAGGAGCAATCCAAACAGCTTCCATATGTTCTGCTCCGGCCTGCCTGGAGCAGGGAAAGGCTGCTCCTTTGGCAGCTCCGCGCTGCAAGAGCTCAGCGAGGCCCACGCACCGTGCCTTGGCACGGCTTCCTCCAGACAGACGCTGGACAAAGCAATTCCCAGTGGGAAGGTGCTGCTGGGGGCCGGGGGAGGCGGCAGCCGGAGGAGGCACAGGCGGCTGGGCTGAGCTGTGCCGGGCTGTGCCCTCACGCCTGCCGGCCGAGGGGCTCTGCCCCGCTCCGCCCTGGCGGCTGCGGCTGCTCGGCCCCGCACGGGGCTGTGAGGGGCCGGTCAGGCCGGCGGGTCTNCTTCCTACCTCCCTCCCTGCCCGCCGGCATCCCCTCATCGCCCCCTCACCATCGCGGCGCTGGCTGCCGCCGGCGAGCAACCAGCCAGCCGGTCCCGTCACTGGGCTCCTTCTCTTTTCGCTTTTTTTTTTTCCCTCCCTCCCTTCCCCCGTGTTTACTCCCCCGACCTGGAAGTGAATGGTGCCTCAGCCGGCCGGGAACCCGCCTCCCTTAAAGGGGCTGCGCCAGCACAGGTTCGTGCCGGGCCCGGGGTGCGGAGCCTCAATGCTCCTTTTAACACTTGCGTTTAGGGCTCCAGGTGTGGGAAGAAGGGGCCAAAGCGCATCGGCCTCTCTTGTTACGAGTGTGTGGGACCTTTTGTTCGGCCTGTTTGTTCCGGTAGTGGAGCCGGGACCCGGGAGCGCCCGGCTGGAGCAGGTGAGCAGCAGCTCTGTGCCCCTGGGGACATCCCACAGCCACCAGCTGGCGTCAGCTTCACGCCTCGTGTTCTCAATCCTCTGCAGGTTAAGTGTTTCCTGCACAAACTGCTTAATTCTGGTAATATGATTAATAACCTGCACCAGTACAATAGGTTTTGCCACCTGCTCTGGAGGGAAGCTTTGCTGTAAGCATAAACCATTCCACACAAAGTAATTTCAGCTTTCAGATAACAGTAGTAGTGAAGAAAACCTGTCTCCCAACAAATACAGTGTACTGTTGGTCAGAAGAATACAGTTACTTCTTGTTTCAGGATACAAAGTAAAGAGTAATACAAGTACCTTGTCCAAATAAAATAAATTAGAATATAGAATTTATGTAAAAGAATTGCTGATTCTACATACAGAAGCTTTGAATAACTGTTGTTTGCAAAACACATAAATACGTAGGAACAATTGCTAAAATTATTTATGTTTCGGTCTTTACAAGATGGCAAAAGATTCTATAAATACTATGAAACACAGTTTAAGGACTGTGTAACAAAGGTCAGTTATAGTTCCAATTCTTTAGATTAGGCTGCTGACATAGAAGAAATAAATTACATGCTCAAGACCTGACAAGCACAGAATTAAGAATCTTCATGTTCTGAATTGAACCACTTAAAAACCTAATCTGCTTTGAAGAAACAACTTACATAATTATGGACACAGATATTAGCTTAGATGAGGAAGCAGCTCATACTATTATTCTTAGTCCATTACGTGTTTCTTCCACTTCATAATGTCTTTGCAAGCTTCCAGGATGTTCTTTCAATGTCTTTTAAATTCACTGATTCACTCTGACTTATCACCAGATGTCTTGTTTTCTGAATTTATGATAGGAACTGGGCTCAGACAATGACAGACTGACCCCCTGATCCCAGTGCCTGTTCTTTGCTGTACTCAGGAATCCTCTCCACTCCTGATATGGAGCAGCCATATGGTTGAGTTGGCACAGGCTCAACACTGGCATCAGAAACTGCAAAGACAAAATCCCAGCAAGACCAGACTCTTCAAGGACTTAAACTAATAAACTCAAGGAATTTCTACTGAGCCTGTGCAAACTGAAATGTTTTCAAAGCTGGATTTCTAGAGAAACAGTATTGCTGGTAGAAAAGCAGTTCATCTTCTAGAGGCCCCATCCAGAAAGGAGATTCATAGAAACACTCTCAGATTGCAGCCAGCACTGGCCAAGCAATGTGCATCCTTTTCCTGCAGTCTCACACACATGGCAGTGGGTTTTGGTCAATACATATTGAAAACAAGACTGTAGCTGCATATGGAAAACGTGTTTTAACTTCAAGCCAATTTTTTAACTGTCTGAAAAGTTTTAAGGAAATACTTTAGAAGCTGTAACTGGTGTTTCAACTATGCACCTGTAAGGGTTTGCTGCCAGTCCAGCTGGTGATGGCTGGTCACAATTAGCTCTAGCCCTTAATAAAGTATAAAGCTTCTTCTTATGGGAGACCCTGCACAGGATTTAACTGCATTTATTTATTCCAAAAACTCAACAAGCTGGTGTTATCCTACTGAAATAATTTGGGGCAAAGCATTTCCAAATATTGCAAATTGTATTTGAAATTGATTTTAACTCAAACTCAGATTAATTTTAAGCAATTAAACACACAGATTTCTAATGTGCTACTTTACGGAAAATTCAGTTTGTGCTCAGAACTGCTGGACTTGGATACTGTGCCATGTTTTCTATAAGTATTCTATTATCACATTTAGATTACATTAATCCATAAAGTTGTGAGTGCCCATCCCTGGAACTGTTCAAGGCCAGGCTGGATGGGGCTTTGAGCAACCTGTACTAGTGGAAGGTGTCCCTGTCCATGGCAGGGGGATGGAACAAGATGATATTTAAGGTCCCTTCCCATCCAAACCATTCTGTGATTCTGAGATCATCGGAGAACCAGGGTTCGTTGTGTGTTAAGTGCTTACCAGTCTCTGGGTGTTCCCAGTGCCCCTGGCACTGCCTGCTCAGTTCAGGTTCCAGCACTTCAAAAAACGCCTGTGAGAGCTTTTGTGGTACCACAGAAAGGAGCTGGGAGCAGTCTCTCCCAGGAGCAGCCCTGTTCTAAAACGGATTCGGAAATTATTGAGCTGTTAATCCAGACAAAGGCGTACAGGAGGCAGACAGGAATGGAGAAAGCAGCCCTGCTCCTAGGCCATGCAGAGCGCAGTTAATGTACTGTCATGTCTCGGTTTATGGGTTGTGCTGAATCGGACCTCGGGAATACGCATCCGGTGGGGCAAAACTCTGAAAGTAAAATTCTAACAGTGCGTTACCGCGTAAAACTGCTGAACCGTCAGAGCTCCCGGTGCCCGCGGGATGGAGCCGTGCCGCTGAGCAGTGCATGGGAGGAGCCGTAACGAGAGGCGTGTAAGGGAAGGTGCGCGAAGAGAGGCTGGGGAAGAGGCGGGGGAGTGTCCGGAGGAGCGGCTGCAGGGGAGGGCGGGGAAGGGGCGGTCGGAGCGGCCGAGGCAGGGCCCGGTGCGGGCGGCCGGAGCTGGCGGGAAGGGGCGGGGAAGGGGCGGCCCCGCAGCCATCGCGGCGTGACCCGGCGCGGCCATGGCCGGCTTCATCAACTTCGCGGACGAGGAGGAGGTGCGGGTGTACCTGGAGAACCTGCACGTGGAGTACAGCTACCA